AAAAAAAAAAAAAATTATCCTTTCTTGCATAGAGCTGAGCAATTAGCCAGTGTACAGTACACACTTCCAAAAACAGCAGGAGGAGACCGTGCAGATTTTTGGAGATTCCGAGGACTTCGCAGCTCCAAGAGAAATCTCCGAAAAAGCAGAGAGGACTTGTCAGCCCAGCCAGTTCAAACCAAGTTTCCAGCGTATGAAAGGGTTGTTCTCCGAGAAGGTAGTTTACTTCCTGTAGATTAACCTAATATCTTTAATGTTAGTATGTTTAAGAAAGCAAAGGGTAAACTACGTGGTTTTTCATTTTAATTTCTCCCCAGCTGGATTCTTGAGACCTGTAACCATCTTTGGACCAATAGCTGATGTTGCCAGAGAAAAATTGGCAAGAGAAGAGCCAGATATTTATCAGATTGCAAGTAAGTAGCTTCAAGACTGAATTCAGGTGAGCTTGAAGCTCTTTACCAGTTAGCTCCCTGAAAAGGATGGCTCTCACCCATTCATTTAATGAAAGCAAAGCTTTTTGTAAGTGAGGAATTTGCAGTTTTGCCTGCCCTGTCTTTTAATCCAAGGGAATCCTGTGTGATTTTTGTCCCCCTTCTACCCATTCCCTTCAGTGAGAAGAAACACTGTTTATGAGATTGGCCACATCATATAAAGACTGCTTAGCACATGATCCTCATTTATTCTCTCAGTGACACTGGCAGTTGGGAGTTCAGGTATTCATACCGAATGAAACCCAGGGGCCTAAGCTGGTTGACTGTATTCTAAACTCTCCTAATGAGCAGAAAGAGACGTCATTAATCCCAGCTCTCTGGCTCCAGTTCAGTGCTTTTAATCATTAAACAGAATCACTGAAATATATAAATACATAAAGAGGGCAATAAAGGATGGTTGATGCTGTTAGTAGTTACCACAAACATTTATAGTAATGTGAAATGCAGAGACTGTAGTAGCATTAGTACTTTGCATGTCAAATATGTTTTGCTCACAGAGCCTTTGTTTCACTAGTTTGGGTATTCTGTAGTTTATATATATAGACTTAATCATGACCAATCTAGCTGGCTTTAAATTCCATGCAAAAATTTAAACTGCATTTTTCTAATTTTTTTTAATTTAATTTTGTTTTATTTGTGAACATACTGTACAGAGGGGTTACAATTACATGGG